AAGATTATACACAAGCTGCGTACAGACGAAGTAGCCTATTTTGATTGGAGTCCATATACAAGCTACGTCCAGAATCTGCACTTAATAATTTCTCGAGGTGAAAAGCTATCCATGATACATTACAATGGGCTGTCATCCCAGTACACCCAAAATGCAGGCTATGTCCATTAAATTCATCTGAAGCATTGCTACCAAGGTCAACATGGCATGGACATGACATCCGGATTAACGATCCACTATCTAGGATTGAAAGCTCCACTAACACACAGCTCTCCTTGGCCTATTGGTTGAGAGCTAAGGCTTCCAACTAAGAGGTCTAGGAAAAAAAAAAAAAAAATCTCACGATTTCATCGGCCTATTAGCACCTCTACAAAATCAAACTCAAGGTGCTTCCATATAAAAAGTTCATGACGTTAAAGAGAGAAAAAAAGGCCAATACAAAATAAATGAGCAGGCTGAAGGCTGCCTAAATAAGCTTGTTGATGTTTTGATTTAAGTTCTATTTAGCTGTTGATTTTTTGCTACTTTTCAAAGAGCTCTATAATAAGAGGTAGTTTTTAGCAATTAAATATGCTGAAATGTAAAAGCACAATTGTCTAATTTACAAAAAGAGGAATTAAAACACTCACAACAGCTTTAATAAAAGCTACTTTCAACGTAATAGCTATAGCTGCCTTTACAAACAGTTGCAGTCACCACAAACAAGCCCTTAAGTCCAAATCCAATACAAGACATGAACTAGGGGTGCAAACGAGTCGAGTCGAGCTCCTGTGTCAAATACCGAGCTCGAGCTCAACTCGACAAAAGAAAGAAAAGCTCGTCGAGCTACTCGAGCGGCATTCGAGCTCAGCCCGCGTCGTCAGCATTCGAGCTCAGTCGTCGTTGTCGCGTTTGAGCTCAATTCGTCTGTTGAGCTGCTTGAGCGGCATTCGAGCTCATTCGTTCGTTGCCAGCTTCTTTCCCCTTTGTGGCCGTTCAAACTCAGTTCGTGTCATCAGAGTTCGAGCTCAGTCGTCGTCATCCTGTTCGAGCTCACGAGCTCAGTCCGTCTGTCGAGCTAAGCCCGCATCATCAGCATTCAAGCTCAGTCGTCGTCATCGCGTTCGAGTTCAATTTGTCCGTTAAGCTGCTTGAGCATCATTCGAGCTCATTCGTCGGTCTCCAGCTTCTTTCCCCTTCGTGGTCGTTCAAGCTCAGTTCGCGTCGTCAGAGTTCGAGCTCAATCGTCGTTATCCCGTTCGAGCTCAATCCGTCCGTCGAGTTGCTTGAGCGGCGTTCGAGCTCAGTCGTCGTTGTTGTCAGCGTCTTTCTCGTCTGTCGTCGTTCGAGCTTAGTTCGTGTCGCCAGCGTTCGAGCTCAGTCTGCGTCCGTCGTTGTCGTCGCTAGTGTCCGCGACCGTTGCAAGCTTCTCATGTCACCAACGTCTTTCCCGTGCCAGATTTTCATTTTCACGTTGTTGATTTCATATGCAAGCTGCTCGACGAGCTTGTGAGTGGAGCAGCAGGCTGGTCGAGCTTGAGCTCAAAATAGTGTTCGAGCTCGACTCACGAGCTCGATAAGCTCGACTCGTCGAGCCTGTTATCGAGTCGAGCTCGAGTCGGATCGCGAGCCGACTTGACTCAGTTGCACCCCTAACCTTGAAACATAACTAAACTCATGGTAGTTTGATGAAGATATATGAGGTCTAAGTGTCATTAAGGACAACTAAAATCTGGAATATTTTGTTAGATGTTATCATGAATATGTTTCGGACATTACTCTCTAATAGCTTCACAAAAATTTTGGCAGGCAGCCTAAAACAATTTTATCTGCAACTCATACAGCCTCACACATGCCAGGGAGGCATTCTGCAGTTCCAAGCCAAATACCAAAAAATCCCCTCAAATTTCTATCTTATTACATGCATTCGATCTCCCGGCTCTTCAAAATCTGATGTCCAAATTACGAGCAAGATTTCTTATGTACTTCTTTGACTATCCCATTTATGATCTGATTTACCCCAGACAACAAAAAGGTGATCCCTTTCCAGAGCCTAATGATGGCCATCGCAACCATTACTAGCATTTTAGCGGGATAGTTCATCGTTCTTCTAGAATACCCACAGCTGTTTGTCCAAATGGTGAAGAGCCGGCTAAGCAAAGCCTAGGTTCCTGATTCAAATCCCTTGGCAAGCAGTAAAAGCCTTAAGTGTTGGCTGTGTAAATTGGTGTGGATTGCATGCTAGGTCGACCGGGATTTTCACTGGCCTAAGGACAGTACTTTCTCGTCACAAAAAAAAAAAATCGTTCTTCTAGAATATAACTCTAACCCATTCTCTCATATAAAGAGGCCAACTAAGCTTTCAGCCTGAGAATTTATAAGCAAAGATTCATAAATTCCAACTAAACCATTACCACACCGATCAACTCCTGCTTAAGTCTGAGTAGCATTTTTTTATAGGGCAAAAATTAGGCTCCATATCTTAACAGATCTAACCTTGTAGTTTAAGCCATTACATTTCAATTAAAGAATTTTATGGTTTCTCCCCATTCGGTTTAGAGCAGCAGACAAAAATTAAGTTAAATCAACAAATATGACGAACTCCTCTTCATATTCAAATGTTACAGGTCCGTTGATGCCTTCTCCAAGAAGCTCATGCCGTGACTTCTTAAGTATTGTCAATGCCTTCTCAAGCCCCTCCTATCACGGCTTCCTCTCCATTGTTGATGCCTTCCATAGCGAGCACCAATTGCACTTCTTGGTTCTTCTTTTGATGTAAATGAGCTCGCAAAGATGCTTTTTTCGTCACGACTTTCTTGCTTCTCCCATCGATACCATCTCTAGCGTGCTCCCATTAATGCCAATGAACTCATATTGCTGAGTTTTTGAGAATTTGGGGATATTTATCTCATGAGTTGAGCTTGAAGCTCACTATTAATCCGGTGAGCTGAATTAAAGCTTAATATATGAGTTGGGCTTGACCATGAGCCTGAGTTTAACCCTATCATTACTTAGGCTAGTTGAACGTCGAGTAGATGCGACTCAAACGTGGCTCGGCCATTTAAACCTCTACATGAGGATTCCTTTCATGGTGAACCAGGGCGCTAAACAGTGTCTAAATTATCCTAGCTTATGCAGGTGTTAACCATAGAATGTTTATAGCTGTTATAGTAGCATGGCACAAAACTGGAGGAAGAAAATGGAGGAGAGGCTAATCTTGGCCATGCACCTTGTCTTCTTTTTTGCCCAACAACCAACTTGGCCAAATCATCTAGCAAAAGTGTTTTCGAGTGCCAGATAATTACCAAACATTACTCTTATTAGCAGGTTTTGGTTGTTTACAATTCACACAACATTAGGCCTCCTTTATCTCTGTGAAGATAAACAGTGATACCACCAATAATCCTAGCCAAGCATGATATGTTTTTGGAGGTTGGTTCCTGCATAGAAAAGTTGTTTTACATGGCTATAGCATCCAAAACCACCTTAATTAGGAATCGAAAAGCCCTTTGGTCTTTGGGAGTGAAGGCACTTCTATTAGTGATTAAGGTACCCAAGGGATGAACCAAACCATTTGGTTGTCCTCAACTAATTCACCTAAATGGGTGTAATTTAATCTAGCTAGGTTTATAACCTCACCTTTCTGAGATGAATATATGGGCTGGTCCATCTAATGATATGCAAGGACAGAATAAGAATGAGAATTGAAGAAGAAGAAGAAGAGCAGCAGTAAATGGTACTTCTCATTTCACCACTTTGAATTGTGTAAAGTAGTCGTATATATAGCAGAGAGAATTGCCATGGATAAGATGGAGAAAGAGGATTCCTATCACATTTGATGGCTAGGATTCTTTTGGTTGGTGAGAGATGCCCGGTAATGATGTAATTGTAGTGAGTAGTGGCTGCTCCTGTGACCATGAGATGTAGACCACACTATTACCGTTATTACCATCAAGATGGTATTCCAGAGATAATTTCACTCTGATAGTGCTTTGATCGAAGCAAGATAAATAAATCAACACTGTATAGGAACATTAGAGGTGAAAGAGAAATTATTACATGCGGAGTCAGGATGGCGTCCGGACTCCAATCGAAAGGGCCACATCGCCTGCACACAAGGTGTATATTATACACATATTATGTACAAGATTGTACACAGGCTGTGTACAGACAAAGTAGCCTATTTTGATTAGAGTCCAGAAGCAAGCTATGTATGAATCCACACGTAATAATTTCTCGAGGTGAAAAAGCTATCCATGATACGGTAGAATGGGATGTATGAGGACATGCCAGTACACCCAAAATGCAGGCTATGTCCATTAAATTCATCTAAAGCATGGCTACCAAGGCCAACATGGCATGGACATTACTTCCGGATTGACTCTTCACTATCTAGGATTGAAAGCTCCACTAACAAACTTCCTAAATATCTAGATTAGAATGGGAGAACGGTTAGGAACCCCCAACCCGTGCTTGATTCCTCTCGAGCAGCAGCGCCTCTTAAGTGGGGCCCAATCAAGAGCGGGCCATGAGGTTTCTGGGGTGAGAGACTCTTCTAGGTCAGCCAACTATTAGTCATGCCACCAAGCAACCTTTCGTGCGTGGCACGGGTGGCAGCAGGTGGTACCCCGTTCCAAAATAAATAAATAAAAAACTTCCTAAATATCTATTTTGCCCAACGCCATGCCTAAATATATAGATCATAGGTATATTTCTCATTCATTCATCACATTCACAACTCCAGAGTTCATATTATTTCCTTCATTTATATTCTCGGCGCACCGGAGGATGCTGACCCCAAATAATTAAAAACCACAAGCTCAATTATTAACTTGAACATAGAAAGCTTCACCAAACACCCTCAAGGAGGTGCTACACAATAAGTTGTTTTCCAGCGCTGACGACACAAGACACTGTTTGCATCTACAATTGAACACATAGCAGCGAAAATAAAGCACTTTTCAGGCATAAAAGCAACAAAAATTACCCCTTAAAACCCTTTTTTTCAGAAAACAAAAGCCTTCAAATCTACCAAGCCGGCATCTAAAAGCTAAATATGAACAAAAAACAAGAGATCAATTACAGCGATGATAAATTAGCCGCACAAAGGAAAATACGGGCCGTTATCATTCAAACATTTGAACACAATAACATATAATTGAGCGCAGTTTGGGAGAACCAAAATCCACAAACAATAAGCTTGATGATGGTTTCGACATAACATGGATCTTTAAGCTACTTATCTTTAGAAGTGGAGATTCCATATTTCTCTTGCATGCGGGCGAGCTCATCCTCCTTCTTCTTCAGATCGACCTTCTTGCTAATCTTGGACTGCTGATAGTAAAGCACGATAAGATATCGGTTCGCGACGTTGAAGCCGGAGAGATGATCTACGGCAGTCTTTGCATCGTAGATGTCTTCGTAGACAACAAAGGCGGTGCCACGGGTCTCCTTGCTCGTCCCGATCCGGATCTGGCGAATCGCGCCGTATTTGCCAAATATATCGTACATCTCCTCGCTCGATATGTTGAATGGAAGGTTTCGCACGTAGAGCACTCTGTTCACCTCCGGCGGCAGCCGTGTGTTCCCCTTCCTGAGGCTGATCGCCGCCATCTCCAAGCTAGGGTTCCGGTATCTTGCCGAGAAACTGGACCTTCAATCTTCCGACTTTTTTCTATTTTTCTTCTTTTCTGCGGGTTAGGCTTTATAGTTTCAACTACTCAAGCCCACATAACGGGCCGAAGTTTTATAACATCATCAACCTTATGGGATTAGCACTTAAATTATGTAAAATTTGATTATTATTAGGGATTTTGTTTAGAATAAAAGGAACTGCAAAAAGGTAATATTTTTGACTTGTTTGATTGATTACACATTTACACCATAAAATTAAAAGTTTATATATAAAATTAAAAGATATGCAAAAGTTGGCGACAACTTTATCCACAAATAGTAAGGCCGGTTAGCGTTAGCAGGAGGAAAAGGACCTGACTGAACTGAGTTGAAACTCCAATTGCCATCGAGGAAAGGACAGGGCTTGCGCGCAAATGGAATTCGGGAAAATCTTCCGCCGGAGTAGAACAAGAACCTAAAAGAATTGAAAGGGTGGGGTGGTAGTAGGTGGCGATGCCGGTGGTGGGAGTGACGGTGGATGGCAATAGGTGATAGCTAGTGACAACTGGCGGTGAGTGGCATGTGCAAAATCAACCTCTCTTTTGAGGGTGGATAAAATATGATTGTGAAATGCCTGAATCTATATATGAAATTAAATAGAAAATAAAAATTCTCTTAGAATTTGAGCAACAACATTTATTGAAGGTGAACAAAATAGCTAAAATGCTTTCTTTTAAGATTTTTTTTTTTAAAGTCAAACAATTAACCACCATAAGCTCTTCTTGATTTCACCGCTAATGAGTGGTGGCTGTGACCAACATCATTTTAAATCGAGTTAATCTTGAACATACTGAAAATTAACGACACGATAAAATTCACTTCCAAACTAATAAGTATGATGTTCTTGTTTCTATCGAATATCATAAATTTTATAGTTAATAAATTATAAATATTTATTTAATCAAAATATTTTACAGGGTCGAATTTGAGTCATTTTGGTATCTAACGGGTCAGATTTAGATTAACTTTAGTATCTATTTATCTAATCGGTCAATCAATTTTGACACCCTTACAAATTCGTTAAGATGGGTCACATAAGGCTCATCACTTTCATGCACCTAGGGGTGTCAATATTTGACACGACCCGAAAATCCGACTCGAATCCGGCCCGAAAATTTGGCACTATTAGGGTCAACCCGAATCCGAAACGGGTCGGGTTCGGGCTCAACATTTCGACCCGTTCAAAAATCGGGTCAGGTCCGGGTTAACCCTTTGACCCGATTTTGATCCGAAAATCCGATTTTGACCCGACAGCCTGAGATTGACTCGTTTTTTACCATAAAGAAAGGAGATAGACCCGTTTATTTTTACCCGAAAACTAGCAATTTTTGGTTGGAAAGGGGTCATTCGGGTCGTGTCGGGTTGACCCGGACACGAAGCGGGTCGGTTCGAGTCAGAAAAACTGACCCGTTTTCAAAAATGGGTCGTGTTCGAGTTGACCCGAATATTGCCGGGTCAGTTTCATGTTCGACCCGAACCTGACCCTGACCCTTGGCCTGAAATTGACACCCCTACATGCACCGACAACTCTTCCACCAAAATCTTAAGCAAGTCAACAAAGTTCTTAGACCACATTAACACACTGATCTACGATCTACGCGTACGAGCCAACCACATTGGATATTAATCCAACATTGTAGTTACTAGCCACCAAAAAACACACGTGGCCACCTTCCATTGTCGTATTTGCTGTTTGATATTTTCCCATAATATAAACTTTTTTCAACAAAATAAACTGGCCATGTGAACTAGTCATGACTCATGACACGTGACAATAATTCGAAAAACATGGCTGAATGAATGTTTAAAGTTTATAATTAAACTTTAAGTGTTTTATTTGAGCTTATATAAGCTTGGAATGAATCACTTTTGGTATTCTTGAGTTTGTCTCATCTAGACATTTAATTCAATTATAAATTTTTTAAAATTGGTGTTCATATGATCATAAATTTAACTTTTAGAAGTCGTCAAATCAAGACTTTCAAAATTATCTTGATTGTGCACGAATCTCAAGGCAAAATCAAGCTAGAAACTTCCAAAGTTAAATTTGAGATCACCTGAACTCTGATTTCAGCAAACTTACAATCAAACAAAGCGTCTCGGAAACGCGAACCCAACGACACCAAGTTCAACTCAATCCGAGCCCAAATGAGTCCAAATCAAGGACCTGAAGTGCTATTGAAAAGTTCGAATCACAATTTGAGTTGCCAAACGATTTCGAAACATGATGTGCTTATAGTCGAATTGAGCGGCTCCACGAGACAAATCCAACGAGCCCAAGACACCGAATTCCGACATCTTTAAGACCTTCAAATGTCTGACGAATGGTACACAATCAAAGGATTCAATATCGGACGTCCATCCAATCACTCCCCATTTGCTCCTGATCTTTCACCTATTTACGGGTCATGCCACTCTAGAAAATTATAAATAAACCTCTCATTTCTCTTGAGAGTGGACCCAAACAAGAAGTAAATGAGGAGAAGAGAATAATAGGAGGGAAGAAACTCCTCCTTGAACACTGTCGGAGTTCCGCCCGACTTTCAAGTGATGTCGGAATTTCGCCCGACCTCCAAGTGATGCTGGAATTCCGCCCGACCTCCAAGTGACGTCGAGATTCTGCCCGGCCTCCAAGTGACGCCGGAATTCAGCCTGACCTCCAAGTGACGCCGAAGTTCTCCTTGGTCGCTAATTGACTTCGAACTTCTACCCGACGCCAGACCTCCGCTCATCGCCAAGTTTCTATCATACGCCGGAATTCTGCTTGTTGTCGAACTTTAGTTGGACATCTATCTGATGTTGGATTTATATTCATTGTTGGATTTCTACCTGACACCATCCTTCTGACCTTCATCGTTAGATAACAGTCCTTCTGACATTCGTCGCCCGTCGATTACAATCATTCTAACTTACGTCGTCCACCGATTACAATCCTTCTGACCTCCGTTGTCAGCTAACTATGGTCCTCTTAACTTACGACGCCCACTAATTACAGCCCTACTGACCTCTGTCGTCAACAGACTATGGTTCTCCTGACTTACGTCGCCCACCGACTATAGTCATTTCGACTTCCGTCGCCCGTCGACTACGGTCCTCCTGACTTACGTCGCCCACCGACTACAATCATTCTGACTTCCGTCGCTAGTGGACTACGGTCCTCCTAACTTACATCGCCCACCGATTATAGTCCTTTCGACCTCCGTCGCCAGCCGACTACGATCCTCCTAACTTATGTTGCCCACAGACTATAATCCTTCCGACCTCCATCGTCAACTGACTATGGTCCTCATAACTTACGTCGGCCACCAATGACAGTCCTTCTGACCTCCGTCGTCAGACGATATGATTACGATCCTCCTGACTTACCTCGCCCACCGACTACAGTCATTCCGACTTCCGTCGCCCACCGACTACGGTCCTCGACCTTCCCCTAAGGAAGGACCTCATTTGTAAGAAACTGTAATACTAGTGGATTCATTCAAACTGGGGTAGGCCCCTTGGTTTTTCCTCCTTTTTAGGAGTTTTCCACGTAAAAATTTTGATGTCTCTAGTGAATGACGTACCCTCTCTTTTTATTTGATTGCATGTTGGATCTACGTACAACGCTAAGACGTTAAATTTTATATTTCTCTACCGCCGCGAATACTCTCGATCGTAACAAGATTCATGATAATCAAATCAATTTTTCATGTATATATCAATTATAGTAGAGATTTATGTAGATGTATTGAAGGGTAATGATAATCAAACAATGGTAGTTATTTAATGTAAGTTTATATTGGTGGCTGAATGATAATGGTTGGATAACAATAATTGAACATTGATGATCAGATAATGATTGACCGACAACAGTGGTTGGGCAATGATGAGCAAGTGACGAGATATTGGTATTTGACTTTATTGTCCACTGTTAGAACGGTTTTCAGAGTTCTTCAAATCTCTAAACTCCTTCAAATTTAGGTTAATGTCCCCTTATTATACGAATGAGGGTGGACTTGTTGTTTTATGAGTGACATTTTAATATTTTTAGAAAAAAAAAACTCAAACAAATAATATAAGTTGATTTTTTTATTATTTAATTATTTTAGCATTTAAGTTTGCTAATAATCTTAGAATTGGATGAATTTGGGCTCATTGGCCTTCTCTCATTGATACTCTTGGTTTGATTACAAGCATGAAATATTTAGAGATAATTTGTTCTTTTAATTAATATTATAAAATTTTTAATTATATTTAAGTGCTTGATTTGAATTCGTTTGCATTAGGACCAGAAAACTATTGATGTTATTGAGCTTGTTTCATTGAAATGTTTAATTCAGTTATAAGCTTGTTAAAATCGGAGTTTGAATGGTTCTAAACTCATATTCAAAAGTTTCTAACTCAAATTTTACATCAATATTTTTAATTTATCAAATGAATTTTTTGATGGCTTATCATTCCTAATTTTTTAGTATTTGACTCAAAGTAAAATAAATTCAATGTAAAGCTTATTGGTAATGGTCGATGATGCATTGGTGCATAGGGTGATAGAGTGGCTGGCTGTGGCGATTAGTGGCAATGGCTTTTTTTTTCTTTCTATATATATATATATATATATATATATATATAGATAGATAGATAAATATTTTTTTTTTCTATTAAATCATCTATTTAAATTCTCCCCAATTTTAAGGTAACCTTCGCCATGCTCACTCTCCTCTTGCAACTCAAATGTCCGCCCGAATCCCCAAATCCAAGCTACTCATTCCACCTACCTTCCTCCTCATCGTCCTCCTGATCCCCTACACCACCACCACCTCCTCCTTCCCCCTTCCCTCCGCCGCCGCTGCCACAGCTGCTCTCCACTGTCAATCCACTCTCTTCCCCAACCTCTGCCTCTCCACTCTCCTCTCCATTCCCAACCTCTCCACCACTCCCCTCCCATCAATCATCTCCTCCGCCGTCAACTCCACTGCCGCCACCGTCATCTCTTCCTCCCATAACTGCTCCTCCATTCTTCGCCGCCATCACCTAAGCCCTCGCCAAAGACTCGCCCTTTCCGACTGCATCGAGCTTCTCGACGCCACGCTCGATGATCTCCACCTCGCCGTCTCCGATCTTCGCCGGAGTTCTTCCCGTCGCCGCTGCCGCGCCGATTTGTCCACTTTTCTCTCCGCCGCCATTACGAATCAGTTCACTTGCCTCGACGGCTTTGCCTTTGTTCCCGAGCAGGAGAGCATTCGTCCTCAGATTCAGCGTAGAATGGTCAAGATTTACAGACATGTTAGTAATGCGCTCGCCTTGTCAAAGAAGATCAGTTCGCCGGAAAATTGTAATGGCCGCGGCCAAGATGAAGTTTTTCGAGGTAGTAATTTAATATTTAATTTTAAATTATATTTGATAAATTAATTTCACAATTATTATATCCTTACAGTGAATGGTAAATTTCCCACGTGGCTGACGAGAAGAAACCGGCACCTACTTCAGGCGCCGGCGCCGGCGACATCAATTGTGGCGGACTTGGTGGTGGCGAAGGACGGGAGCGGTAACTACACGACGGTGGGGGAAGCAGTGGCAGCGGCGCCGAATAACAGCGCGACGCGGTTCGTAATTTACATAAAAGCCGGGGCGTATTTTGAAAATGTGGAGGTTGGGAAGAACAAGGTCAACTTAATGTTCGTCGGAGATGGCATGGGGAAGACGGTGATAAAAGCCGGCAGGAACGTCGTCGACGGCTGGACCACTTTCCGGTCAGCCACTGTCGGTGAGCCTACTCGAACCAATTAATTAATCTTTTTTATAGACAGTACTATTATAATTTTTTTATTGCACGCTGCTTTAATTTAATTAATAGAAAGTAAAGGGGCTTATTGAAAAAGGGGCTTGTTGTTATTTATGAAGGTAGTCAGTATCGTGTCGGGTACGGATACGAGAATGTTACATGTTTAAAGAATTAAAGGCTCCTATATAATTATTTTTATCTTTTTTAAATAGAGAAAAATTCGGAAAATTAGAATAAGGTGATTTTCCATAATTTATTTGACATAACCAAGTTTCTCGATTAATTATTATGTGCGGACGTCAAATATCATTCGAAGATCAATCAGAATGCGCCACATCACTTCTTTGCTCGGTACCTTGACTCGGTATTGCTTGGTCGCGACTCGGTACCACTGATGTGATTGTACGTGATTCGCCTCCGAACGTAGAGCTCCGTCCAGCCTCAGCACAAAATAATTCTCTTATTTAAGATAGTTTTTTTTTCCACTTTTTTAGCTTTTCAAAATTTTTTGTGATAAAAAACTAGTTTTTACATCCGGTGTTGCTTATATGTGAACTTTTTAAGAAAATAATTGATCAGATTAAAAAAAAAATTATAATATTCACAATTGCTTTTAAAAAATAATTTCCTATAATAATTTTACAGCAAACTTTATAAAATTCTATAATCTTACAAAATAAAACTTAAAACTATTTTGAACAAAATATTTTTATGAACTATTATATATATATAAATACTAAATGCTATATGTCACAAAAAATCATTTTGATCATGCACGAATCTTGATGCAAATTTGAATTAGAAACTTTCAAAATTAAGTTTGGGATCATCAAAACTGTAATTTCAGCAAACATATATTCAAATTGTACATCTTAAAGAGACGAACCAAATGACACCATATTTGATCCAATTTGTTGAACTCTATATCTTTCTGCCGCCACGAACATTTCAACACATAATAGTTCTCAAAAGTAGCTTTCCATGATAATTTTTGAAAAGTGGGTTGCAGTCTAATAGGCATGTGATAGCCATCGAAAAAAATAGCGAAAAAGTTGCCCCACGGAGAATTTTTTTTTATATAAATGATATTATAAAAGAAAATTAAAAGAATTGAAAAAGGGCAAAAAACATATTGTACACTTACCCAAAATAAAGAAATTTGGAGTGCACTAAATAATAAGCAATAATGATTACTTGAATTGATAATGAAGCTGTCATATGATGGAAAGCACTTCTTGGAGTGTAGGAAACAAAAAAGTATGATAATTACTTCAATTATCAAAGCTACTTTATATTAAAAGCATTTCTTATGTTTTTTTTTTGGAGGTTAGGTTTTTTTTTTTTTTTTTTTTGATATTTTTGGGCCATTTGATGTTATATTTAAATATTTTAAACTAAATTTTAATATTTTTGTCTTTTAATAAAACTTTCAATAGAATATTTTTGAAAATCTTAGAAAGTTTTTAATGATTTTTTTTGAATGTTTTGCTCTTAATTAGTCGAATAATGACAACATAAGTTAAATGATGAGATTGGATGTTAATAGTTAGGTGGCAATGATTAGACGACGGTTGCTGATGAAGATCATTGATGAGGGTTGACGACCAAAATAGTTGAGTTCTTCAAATTTCTCAGCTTTTGAACCTTCCTTAGGTAGAAAAATAGAGCTTTATTTATAGTTTTTTTTAGACAAAAAATAAAAGGTTCATCGAGCATCACATATTGATTCCCTTGATCATAGACTATTGATAATATTTGAGTATTTTAATGACATCAAAATTGAATGATCTTGGGCTTGTTAATCAAATCTTGTTGAGGATAAATTATTTTGTGCGGAGGTCGGACGCAAAACGTCGTCCCGAGACCAATCAGAATGCACAACGTCAACGTAGCGCATTCTGATTGGTCTCCGGACGGCGTTCGACGTCCAAACAGAATAATTAATCCTTGTTGAGATGCTTGATTTGATAATAAGAATGCAATATTTAAAGGCCACATGATTCTTCAATTACTCTTCAAAAGCTTTTGAATATGCTATAAGCATTTGATTTTAGTTCATTTTGATTTGAATTAGATAGCTTTTTGTATCATTGGGTTCATTTTGTTGTGACGTTCACTTTGATTATAAGTTTTATTGGAAATTGAAAATTCCTAACTTTAATTGTGAAAAATTCCAATTCAAATATTTCCCCTTTAGATTCATGCTTATTATGTGAATTTTTTGGTGATGTATTAATATGTAATTTGGCCACTTTATAATTGATATGTCATCAAAAAATTATCTGGATCGAGCACGAATCTCGATGCAAAATCAAGTTGGAAACTTTCGAAATTAAAATTGGGACTATCCGAACTCCGATTTCAGTAAACTTATAGTCTAACTGAGCGTCTCAAGAATGCAAACCCAACGACACCAAATTCAACCTAATCCGAGCCCAAATGGGTCCAAATCAAGGGTTTGAAGCACTTTTGGATGGTTCAAACCACAATTTGGATTACCAAACGGTTTCCAAATATAACGTAATTATAGTCGAATCGAGCGTTTCAACGAGACGAATCCAATGAGTCTAAGATCAACAAATTCTGACATCACTAAGACATTCAAATGTCCATCAAACATACCATGATCAAGGGATTCAACATCGACCGTCCATCCAACCACTTCCTATTTACCCTTGATCTATCACCTATTTATAGGTCATGCCAATCCAGAAATCTATAAATAAACCCCTCATTTCTCTTTAAAAGGGACTGAAGCAAGAAGAGAAGAAGGAAGAAGAGAAGAAAAGAAGGAAGAAACTCTTCCTCGACCACCACTTGAGTTCGTCGGACCATCACATGAGATTATCGCCTTTGCCGGACCACCACATGAGGCCATCGCCTTCGTCGGACCACCACATGAGGCCCTATCCTTTGTCGGACCACTATTTGAAGCCCTCACCTTCGCCGAACCACCGCTTGAGGCCCTCACCTTCATCAGACCACCACATGAGGCCCTCACCTTCGCTGGAACACCACCTAAGGGCCTGAACTCCGCCAAACCAACACTTAAGACCCTAAACTCCGTCAGACCATCAACTAACGCCAAAATTTTGCCTAGTCACTATCAGACTACTAATTGACGCCCCAAATTCCAAGAGATGCACGGTTTAACATTAGACTTCAACCATACGGTTGACATTTGTAATTTGATCGCCCTCTAGGACGATTTAGCCCACTGTACTCAACTCAAATTCTAGTGAAATCTTTTTAACTGGACTAGGCCCCGTGGTTTTTCTCCTTTCCAGGATTTTTTACATAAAAAAAATATTGTGTTCTCTGTGTGTGAGCTGAATATTTGTGCAATGCTAATACGTAAAATTACAACTCTATCGCCATGTATATTATAGACCGCAATAATAATGATATATATATGATCAAATTTGAGTTCTTTATATTAGTATAATTCAATTATAGGTACGTTCACACAACCTATTAATATAAAATGTTGTAATTGCTTTAATTTAATATATTCGATCAGGGTTTGAATATGCTCAATCATATATCGATTTTTTATTACATATGATATCAACCATGTTCAAATTTTGGTTGAACTTTTTCCAACTATTATTGAAGTCAAATTTGGGAAAACTTATTCTGTGCGGACATCGGACGACGTCCAGAAATATATCAGAACCCCCACATCATTTTTTTGCTTAGTATTGGTGCTTGGTATTGCTGTGTACCCGATGACATGTCTCGTTCTGATTGGTCTCCAGACCATCCAATATCCGCATTGAATAATTTCTCCAAATTTAGGCTTTGTTTAGGAAGGCTTTCTTACTATTTTCTAAAGCAGCTTTTTAGTATAAAAAAAGAAAACATCCCAAACAAAGCCTTAAGAACGATAGATTTAAAAAAGTAGTACACAATCTAAAATGAGGGTATTTTGATTTGAGGAGATTTTTCATCTAAGAAATGAAATATGGAGCAAATTTCTCTAATATAAAATATTATGGAACATATAGACTAAAATTTATCTTTTAAAATAGCAATTTTATGCCAATTAAAAAAATTCAATTGTTAAACAATAAATGAGTTATCTGATTGCTGATTATAAAGTTATTAAATTTTACTAATGACATTATAACGACTAATACAATAAATTAAATGCTAATCGCAGCGGTAGTAGGCAAAGGCTTCATCGCCCGCGACCTCACCGTCGAAAACGCCGCCGGTCCAACCAAACACCAAGCCGTCGCCCTCCGCTGCGGCGCCGACCTCTCCGCCTTCTACCGCTGCAGCTTCGTTGGCTACCAAGACACTCTCTACGTCCACTCCCTCCGCCAATTCTACCGCGACTGCGACATCTACGGCACCGTCGACTTCATCTTCGGCGACGCCGCCGCCCTCTTCCAAAACTGCAATCTTTACGCCCGCAAACCCGACCCCAATCAAAACCCCATTTTTACAGCTCAAGGCCGCGAAGACCCCAACCAGAACACGGGCATCTCAATCCAACGCTGCAAGATAACTTCTGCGGCCGAACTAATCCCGGTTGAGTCAGACTTCCAGAGCTATCTCGGCCGGCCATGGAAGAAGTATTCGAGAACTGTGGTGCTGGAATCGTATATAGGGAGCTTGATTGAGCCGGCGGGGTGGTCGGAATGGAACGGGAGTGTGGGAGTTGATACTCTGTTTTACGGGGAGTACATGAATCGAGGGCCTGGATCCAATGTGAGTGGGAGGGTAAACTGGAGTGGGTATAAGGCCATTAATGATTCTGCGGAAGCTTTGAATTTTACTGTTGGGAGCTTTATTCAGGGCGATGACTGGCTAGGAGCTTACTCTATTCCCTTCTTTTCTGGTTTGAGCTGAAGAACTTTGTTTGTTATTTGGATACAAAAGCTTGAACACTGCAATAAAGTAATGAACTGTGACAACAAATTTTTCTGTAAAATAACAAGCTGGGAACTTGATTAGATGCTGGTGACAGAAATTTTTTTTCTCCATGTAGAATATATAGTTGGTGAGATATGATAGTTAGAATACTATGCCTTGCTTTACTAATATATTATTATTAAGATCTTAAGGCAACAGATCAGGGTTGGCAAGGAAGAATAGATGTTAATCTCTTTTATGGAATTGAAGAGATTATTACATGCGTAGTCTAGATAAAGAAAACCGTTCGGTTTTATGACTCTCAATAATAAAAGTACAATTAATGTTCACCACTGCGCTTTTATTGTTCATAATCACAAAACCGAATGATTCTCTGTGTCCAAATTTTGCATGTAATAATCTCTCCTAAACTAAGGGGAATAAAATAAAAAAAAAAAAAAAAAAGGACCTCCAAGCTATAGCTTTAGTAGTATGCATACTTTAGGTTGTTCTCCCCCCATCAATCCATCATATATGACCATATATTTCTACCAAATAATCCCCCACTGAAAGTAGTTTATTAATCATACGATTACTATCATGCAAGGCATTCCCGCTTATGGGGGAACTCGCCTTAGAGAGATTCAATAAGGTTAAGGAACTCGCTTAGTGAAGCTCAGATTGGAAAAGTTTAAAACAAGGAAGCATACACGTTGGTCATGTTTAGAAGGAAGAACTTGCCTTCTCAAGGCAATCATCTTAGAGAGCTCTGATGCAGAGCATCTTATGATCTAAAATGTACTTTAGGAATGCTTTATCATTTAATTGTTGTTTTTTAGGTTTTCTAGAAGTTTCTATTTTTAATTATATATGCAAGATGTTTTAGAAAGAATGAAATGAAAGATATTTTTGGAAGATTAATATATAGTAATTATTTATCTTTGGTATTCTTGCTCTTAGGAGCTGTTACTTGTTATTAATCATTGATCTCCCCACATCAATCTCACCTCTACTAGATGATCACTTGACCATTATGCAAGAGATGCTGATCACCTACCTAAAAGTAGGTGTGGAGACTATGTTTGCTTAGTCAGTGCCTCGATCTTGGACGCTTATCGCTAAAAGTTAAACCAAGTCAAATATGAAAGGACATGTGCATTCATTCTAGTCAACCCACGTATTTTATAACTGTCAAATATTATAATATTTCATTATTATTTTAGGTGTTGCATCTACTTTAGCCTTCTCAGCCCTACAAATAACCAGTTGAGAGGCATTTTTGGGACCTTTTGGCTACTGAAACTTACAACATTGATTATAGATAAATTTCTTCCTATTAGCCACCTTTCTTTCTTTCTCTTCATGTCACCTTATATTTTTGTTGAAATCGTTTCACCTTAATAGTCTTGATAGTAAGGCCAATACATCATTCACAGGAAAATTTGGATTCAACAAAGTGCAATTTTTTTCAGTAGTTATTATAGGATTCAAATTTGTCCATCATTGATATTTGACTTTCCTAACTATAAACCTCCTAGATGAGAACCTCAGAACATAGTGTGAGCATGAAAAAAGAAAGGAGAAGGCTAAGAAAATATGAATTAACAACTACAAATATAAAGGCCATAAAAATACTTAGCTAGATTAATAGTTCTAAAAATAAATCAAAATATGCATATTCACTATTTATTTATACAATTCTTAGGGCTAAATGATACATAAAAAAGGTAGAAAAGTATGCCATTAATTATAATACTTTACAGACTATACATGAGGCGTATCTTGATCTAATAAGCATCCATGCGGTAATAATAATTCAATGTCCTAAGAAATTGCCTGAATAGGGGATTAAGTTTTTATAGATGTCTCCAACTCTTTATCTCCAACTCTTTTCTTATCTGTCTAAATATGATTGACATTTTGTTCATAATAGTAATAAGATTTATTGATGACATAATTCTATCTAAACTCATTTTCTTTATTTAGTAGGATCATATAGAATTCCTTTAGAAATTTTGCCTTCCTTAAGTTTTTTGTATAATGAGCCAACAAAAATCTTAACATATAGTGAAAGATATAAAGAGAAATCTATCAATAATTTTGACTCGTCTAAATTATTTGTTAGATTATTATTCAATAGTGTTAATATATGTGGAAGATGCTGAGAGAAATTCACCAAGGAGATTTAACTTATGAAAGTCTTGCTTGATATATGTATCAACAATATTTGGCATATTCAAGGCTAGTTATCATAGTGATGCTCAATGATGTCAATCTATGTGCAAGAGATTGGAAGAAATCCATCAAAGATATTTGACTTATCTAAGATTTTTATAGTATTATTTGATGGCATTAGTCAATGTAAAATAATTAAAATAAAATATCCTTGGGGTCGTTGACCACACTTTAATCTGGAGGGGGCAAATGATATATATATCCTTAACAAAAATGTTAGGTGATAGTATTTAGATGACTATAGTTGCGTAACCATGGTCGAAGACGTAAAATAGTTGGGCAATGGTGCTTGAGGGAAGATGGTCAGAAAACTATAATTGAGCAACATTGGTTAGATGATTATGATCAAACGATGGTGCTCAAATCAAAGGGATGTGGTTGGAAGATGGTGGTGGAAGGCGATTATGGTTAGAAGAACTTAGTAGGGCAGTAGCAATCCAATCATTGTGGCCGAGCAACTATGAAAGCTTGATCTGGGCTCATTCGGACTTGAATTGAATCACTCATGTTTATCAATCCAATCGGAATATGATAACCTATTTTTTCTTTCCTAGTAAAAACAATTTATCTACATGTAGCACTAATGAATCTTCAAAATCTTCTACAAATAATCCATTAAACATCTTCTTTTTGGAAAGAGCCATTCATACTGCACACTATGATAAATACTAATATTTATGTTATGTGATTGAAAGAATATGATAAATGCATAAAATAAAATAAATAAAAAATAAAAGAATATGATTAATGAATGTTTTCTTTAAGTAAATGGTCAAGAGACCGAAGGTTAAGGTAGCCCGATCTACCTCAATGAGTTCCCTCGCAATAATTTTGAAAAGAATTTATTACTCTCTTTTATCATTGTATTTTTTTCTTTCTTCGAATTGTGTAGAATCTTCCCTCGTGGTTTGTATTGTAAATTTGTTGCGCTCAAGTATGACTATGAGCGATGCACTATCTTTTGTTTGGCTGCTACTTTCTTGCCGTTCTCTCATTACTTTCCAGAAAACTTAGAAATAAAATGCTATGTTGAGTTATCTATCTCACAATAATTTTACATCCTATTTTATAAATGATACGTCATCACAAATTTATCTTGATCAGGCACAAATCTCGAGGCAAAAAGCTAGTTGGAAACTTCAAAGATTAAATTCAGGAGCATCTGAACTCCGATTTCAGTGAGCTTATAGTCAAACTGAGCTTATCGGAAACACGAACCAAATGACACTGAATTCGACCCAATCCGAGCCCAAATGGGTCCGAATTAATCAAGGACCCGAAGCGCTGTTGGAAGGTTTGAATCACAATTTGAGTTACCAAACAGACTCCGAATTTAACGAGCTTATACTCGAATCGAACGGCTCGACGAGACGAATCTAACGAGCCTAAGATCGCCGAATTTTGACATCACTAATGCCTTAAAATGACCAACGAACAGTACACAATAGTAGTATTCAATATCGTACGTCCATTCGACCACTCCCTATTCGCCCCTGATCTCGCGACTATTTACGAGCTATGCCACTCCAGAAAAACTATAAATATAGCCCTCATTCTTCACAAAGAGAGGGGGGGGGGGAGTGAAGAGAGAGAAAAAGCAGTCAATGCAGCGGCAGGCAAATCAATCATTTCAATTCAATCAATCAATATCCGTCAATCAAATCAATACGGTCAAATCAATGAAATCAGTCGAGAAAAGCAATACGGAACAATGAATCTATACGACAGTCAATACGGTACAGAAACAGTAGGCAGTAGTACGATGTCCATGTTCATGCTATCAATACAGTATCTATATCTATCAATGTCCATATCAATGCTCAGTAGTATCAATGTTCAGTAGTCAATCGATGAAATCAGTGAAATCGTACGATACAGTAAACCCGATCAAATCCGTAAAATCCGTAAATCAATACATTAAACATGCAATCAATACGATAATACTGAACAATGTATAATCAATGGTCATGTTGCTGTTGTAGAATTCATATTGCTGTTGTAGATATCAATATATTGGTTCTATGAAAAGAGTCGTCACTCTATTGCCCGTCGGCCGCCCGTCGGCATATAATCTCCTTATGACTCCCAATCGTTATATCAATGATCAATGGTTTAAAGGAAAGCCCGTCGGCCCACCATCCTGTACAGGTCAATATCAATCTTCAACCAATGTTCAACCAGGTTATACGTGTGTTCCAGTATCAATAATCAATCAATAATCAGTTTAATAATCAATATTAAAGCAATCTATAGCAATCATATCAATAATCAATAGCATATCAATCTAATCTATCAATTTCGGGAAAATCAGAAAAACTACGAAAATCGGTCAGAGTAACGGCAGTCTATCAAATTTACACAAAAATCCTGCAAAATCATAATTCACCAAATTACAATAGAACGTTCACGACATCAATATAAGACTATTATTCTATAGAATCCAAATCAAATCACGTCCTGATATTTTTCTATTCAATTAAAATCGCGTAGAATCAATTCCGACCGATAAAATCATCGTAGAAAATAGTCAAATCGTGTACAATATTCATATCTATAACATATCAGAAGTTGTGCGGTGAAAGTCGTGTCAATACGAAATCAGGTCAAAAGTTCGACTACAAAAACACAAAACAGTGCACAACTCGATCAAAATACAAAATCTTCGAAAACAGAAATAGGGTTCGGAGTCCTTACAGCGAGACAAACAAATCTTCTAACAGCGTCGTCGGACGAAAAGCGCTCCGTGGCCTCCAAAACCAAGCTTCCTTCTTCTCTTTCCTTCTCTTTCTCTCTCCTGCCTTTCCTCTCTCTCCAAAATGAATCCAAAATATCTCAAATCCGATATTTATTAACACTGATCGTCCTGGACGATCCAAATTTCGTCCTGGTACGATGGGTTTTCTGGACAAATTTCGTACAGACGAAATCCAAATTCGTCCCGGGCGACTAGCTCT